CCTATACGCCTTTTTTGATTACTCCAAATTGTATATGCGCGTGTATAGTTAAAATTTTTGCTTTCTGGTCCTTCTAAAGAAATACGCATTAGCATATCTAGTGTATCTGTAGTTAATAAGTTTCTATCCTTTGTTTTAATTTTATTTTGTCTGCTAAAACCACGCTCACATTCTACACTAGAAAAGGGAATACAATAGACTATCTGAATTAATTTAATGATATTGGGAAATACATCGTTATAATCTTAAATTAATAAAGGAAGTAATACCTCAATATTATTAGAGGAAAAATTATTAGTAGTTATCATTTGAAACCCTGCCCATTCTTCTCTACATTTTTTAATATCAAAAAATGCAGAAAATTGAATATTATCATGGAAATTTGGTCGCTCAAAATACTTTAATAAAATTTCTAGATCATTATCTCCAAAAAATAATAATTCTTGAGGATTATTTGGCCATTCACGTGGATTTAATATTTTCATAGAAGTAAATAATTGCCGATTAGGAAATCTATGCTGAAGTTCATTAATAACATTTGTTGAATAATCATATACATCCATTATAAATTCATCGTAATCTTGTTCAATAAAAGAAAGGTTATTGTCCAAATATGTTATTAAAGAATTTTCAAATAGATTAGTTTTGTCTATAAATATTTGAACATTTTGTCCAAATCTTTGATTTTGATCTATTAGAATATACTCCTTTTGAATAGAATGAATTGTAGCTTGTATCATAGGATCAATATCAGAAAATTTTAAATTTCTTTTTTGTAAAAATTTACTCAATTGTGTTACATGTTCTAAGATATTGTAAAAGTAAAATAAAAATGCTAGCATTTTTCAAGATGTTAGTTGCTTATATAATTCTTGTCCATCATTATCTTTCGATTCTTTAAAAAGTTTAAGTAATGCTGGAATTGAGTTGCAGATATTTTTAATAGCTTCATACCATGCAAGCCAACGTATCTCATATAATTTTTTTATTTTTAAAGTTGGATCATCTAAAATATTTTGAATTTCCTGTAATTGTTGAATGCGTGAACATGAATTTTTAAAATAATTATAAATTCTTTTAACTAAAGATTCAACTTCTCCATAAAATTTAACTTTTTTTTTTGCATCTTTACATGCTAGAGCTAATCTATGAGCAGCGCAGTGATTAACAATCAAAGGATAGGTGCATATTCTAGAAAACTTTGCATCTACACCTTCATTTTTTCCTAGCATAACAGAAGCACCATCAGAGGCAAATGCTACAAGTTTAGATAAAATATTTTTTTCTTAAAAATATCAACTAAAACCTTAGTAATACCCTCTGCATCACAACTAGTTAAAGGTACAATACATAAAAAATGTGTCTTTAAGATTCCTTCTTTAGTTATATATGAAACATATATATCTAAATTCTTTGTAGTAGTAATGTCTGTACTTTCATCAATCATTATACCAAATGCTACAACATCATATAATTCATTCCAAATTTCTTCTTTAATAGTATTTGATATTGCCTCCAAAAATTCACAACCTGAAATATTATTTGTATATGTAAATGTACCACTAAAAAGATCTGATGAACCTGATTCTTTCAATAATTCAACAACTGATGGTAAAAGTTTAAGAGCCAAATTTTTTTTGCTAAAAAATAAACAGTTCGCATTACACAAATAATATGATTTGTATTTGCATTAGAAGAAATGATTCTTTTTGTAATGATTCTATATGTATTCTTGAACTTTCTAATTTTTCTGCATCATTATGATCTTCGGTATTTATATGTTCTCTAATTGCTGATTTTCTTGAAATATTTGTTGCACCTTCTGTAGCAAATTTATTTTTTTTTTATGTCGCATACATAATGTACAATACATTTTTTTTTGATTTTCATTATAATGTAACCAAGAAAATTCAGTTAACCATTTGAGTTTAAAAGTTTTATTATTGTTTATACAAGATTTTTTAATATTATTATTAGGATTATCTTCGTTATCAAAATTTTGATCATTTTGAAGTGAATCATTTCTAACTCTTTTATGTTCAAAACCGTACTGTAACAATGATATTATAAAATAGGATAAATTTTTGAAAAAAAATTTGTAGATATTGTATAACAGTTATTCGAAAGTAAAAGTTGGCAAATATGATTTGATACAATCTAAAGTGACTTTCAAGTATTGTTATAAAGATAAGTAAATATACTTTTAAAGCGTTTAATTTTTATTGGGTTTGGAGATCTTTATTAACAGTTTTGCTTTGTATAAAATATAAGATTATTTTTATTACTCTTTGAGCATGTATATTTTCTCTTCTCCACAAGAAAAATTTACCTCTATTTATAATAAAAATTTTTGGGAAAGTGAAAGAACAAATTCGAAATTTTTATTATTTTTCTGCCATTGAAACCAAGCCGTTTATCCTTATTTGAACTAACAATTCACTTCTAACACACATAGCCTTTGTTATTTTAGCATTTAAACTAATAATTCACTTTTAACACACATAGCCTTCGTTATTTTAGCATTTAAACTAATAACACACATAGCCTTCGTTATTTTAGCATTTAAACTAACAATTCACTTCTAACACACATAGCCTTCATTATTTTAGCATTTAAACTAACAATTCACTTCTAACACACATAGCCTTCATTATTTTAGCATTTAAACTAACAATTCACTTCTAACACACATAGCCTTCGTTATTTTAGCATTTAAACTAACAATTAACTTCTAACACACATAACCTTCATTATTTTAGCATTTTACAGAAAGAAAAGAAGGCAAATCTAAGAACGTTTACACTCTTTATTGTTGCATAACCCATTGATTCAATCGTTCGATATTACTACAGCCACATGCTTAGCTTATCAAGGTAATATTACCTTGACAGATGTCAATCCATATTGGGAAGAAGGCTTGGTCAAAGATCTACAGCGTAATCATTCAATGGAGGCTTTTGCGCATACAACTGCAAGGGGGATTGTTATTTGATTTCTTGGTCTGGGGCATCGTTGCATGACTGCTTTTCATGTGATTTTTTTAGGTCATTTTGTGATAATGCTGTTACGACCAAGAGAGAGACTTTATATCCACGCAGCCAATTTAACTTAGAGTCATAAGTATTAAATGAGAAACCAAGTATTTATTATCACACACAAGGTACCAAAAAGTACTAATAATATATCCCAACATCCCAACAGTGCACCCGGTACACTATAGTCCTCTGAATATCTCTTGTTCCAACTAAAACCTTCCAAAGTACTAATACAAAAAATCCTAACTCACAAAAAGAAAGACTAACTAACCACTCTAATCAGACTATCACGCAAAATGTAAAGTATGAGTTTATTCTAAAATATCGTAATAATCAACAAAGCATACTAATGGAAATATTTTTTAATTCCAGTCATATATTCCGGTTAAAAAAACTAATTACCGGAATTTTTAACTTTTACCGGATTTTTTCCGAAATTTTTCAAATTTTTTTTTTCACGTTGGTTTACACTACTTCGGGTACTGTAACCGTTGATGGGAGAGCGGGACACTTCAAGATCAATGGACCCAGTGATAATCACATCACGTGTAATCACGCAATTACGTCATTTGTTACTAGCACTAACAAATCGGCCAAAGCTATACTATCACCTAACTCTAAAACCAACCTTAATTTAGGCCGAGTGTTTAATCATGTGATGTGATGAGCACGAATTTATCACTGGGTCCACTGAACTCGGGAGAGCTTATGAAAATAATATGAATATAAGGCCAATTTAACTCCAACACGGGGATGATATGACATTATGAAACGAAGGCTTTAATATTAAGAGGGGTGATAATAAGGCGAAGCAACTGGTGATGCTGTTAGGGATATCTCAATAAGGATGGTGAGGTAAAAGCGGACGATGATCAAGTGATGTCGGTGATACGTAACTTTATGTCCACGTGATGGATTAACAGGGTCGAATAACCAATCGTAAGCACGTGAATGGCAATATCTGATTCCACAAACGTTCTAGAATCCGAGCCTTAATAAGCCGAATCAAAGTTACAAGTCAATTCAGTCCGTCGAATTGAGTCTCGATAGGGTTTATTAAAGCTACAAGTTGAATTCAAAGACAAAGTCTCAAAGGAAAATTCAGATAAGTATATACTTTATTATTTAGTGGTAATTAAAAGTGGACATGGAACTTAATCGACTGTCCTTTCGTTTATTGAATTCATGGTCTTTATATACATTTTATTGTCCCACCACGTAATTTCAACGTTTACACCAAAATTTGGGTTTATGCACCGAAAGATATCAAGGCACAGTCTTAGTGTAACCACGCATACGCGGATTTTTCAGTGTTTACGTGATTCATCTGATTTCCATGCTACTAAGCCACTCATCATTACCATTTTAATGTAAGTTATGAAATAATCAAAAGAAATAATAAAATACTAAATTGGACATTGTTACCAGAATGGGTGGGGAATTACTAATACGTAAACTATGTACATTCGGATGATTTACCGAGAAAATAAAGAAATTATTTACAATAATATAGAAATATAAAATTTAATTCGTTACAGTACGTTTGCACGACCATTGGGACGTTTACACTCCCAATTTCTAAGCTATTTCTCTGTGATTATGCAAATAGCCTATTGTAACAGATTCAAACAGCTACGTTTACTCTCCCACTGTCGCGTTTTACGCGCATTGAGTAACATTCATATTATTAAGCCACCAAGTCACCAATCATTATCGTTTTTGAAATGTTATAATAAATTTACCAAAATTGGATATTGTTGCAAAATGGATGGGGAATTACTAATAAATTTTGTACATGTGGATAATATCCGAGAAAAATAAAGATTTATTTCAAAAGTATAGAAACTAAATTCTAATTCGTTACAATAGTTAAAGAAGCTGTTTTTATTCATAATATAATGTTATATTTATGTAATTGCCACTAATATATAATAAAATTTATAGTAACAAATGAAATAATAAATATTACTCAACAAGCTTAGCAAGATGTTTATAATTTTGGTACCAATTTTCAGGGGTCTTATCTACCATGTCAAATTTTCTACATATTTCGTCCTTTAAATGCACCCACATTGCTCTAACTTGCTTTATTTGATCATCATCGGGCTTTTTTCGACCTAAAAGTGGCCACCACTCTGGGTGATATGTTTTTACATATTTTTCAAATTTAAGTTCATTTTCGTAATCATCATCTACTTTTCTACAATAAAATTTTTTAAAATTCTCAGGCTCATTACATATTATTAAACTTGCTGCTTGTGTTACAACCTCTCTAGTACCGCCAAAACAATGCATTAAATGAATTGACGCTCTGTGATTTGTACCGGGTTCATGTTCTGCTAATTCACATTTTGATCTATAAAAATTTTAAAATATATTAGGTTATTTTTATAATAAATTTATAAATTATGACTTACCTGCAAAACGGACATCTGTGTTGACATCCTCTAACCTTGTTCCAATATGATTTCTTGGAATTTTCTATACAATCTATTAATGTTTTTTTGTAAAGATCTGCACGCTGAGTTTTCCATAATGTATTAAATTGTTTCACGTATTTATAATATTCCTCACTTAATTTGACAAAAAAATCTTGAGGCGAATCAATAATACATTTTCCGAGAACACGCATTGCATCCTCTATTAAAATTTTTGGGTATATGGTCTTATTTAAAGATGCTGGAATAAAACTACGGTGAACCCTCTCGATAAATTTCTTAAGGGGCAAATCTTTATTTGAGGATTCTGAAAAACATTGCTGACAATTGATAATTTTTTCAAGGGGCAAGTTTTTTTCTGATGAACCTGAAAAACGTTGCTGACAAATTAACATGATTTCGCAAAGTTTTTCTAAAGCATCATTGATATCCTTTTCGGTTTTTTCTAATATTTGATCAACGGTTTTCTTTTCAAAATCATCAACTTCATTTTCAAATAACTCTTTCATAAATAATATTGGGTCATGAATATATTTACGAGTTTTTTCAACATCATAGTCACCAAAACTTTGTTCATAAACATAACGTGTAGGATTTCTAGCGTCACTCATCCAATGCTTCTTTTTCAAGTACTCTTCTAATAATTCTGGAATGTATTCTTCTTGGATAGTCAAATATTTTTCAACTGATTTAGAAACATATTTAAAAAATTGAGAAGAAAGATTTTCATATGAGGAATTACTTAGTATATCATAAAAAGATTTTAACAAAGCTTCACGAAGATTATTAAGATTATTATGTTGCGTGGCTTTCCATTTTTTAGTATTGGATTCTAATACGATAAAAACTTTAAAACGCAAATATTGCTTAAATAGATATATATATATGTTAATAAAATAGATAAGCATAGCATTATTAATAACATAGTATTATAATTATTTACCTCCATTGAGCTAAAATCATCAACTTTAACCTTGAATAGATCTTGAAAATCATTAAATTGGTTCTGCACGATAAAAATATTATTGCATAATGATTTAAGCCATTCTAAAGCCTGATTAAATTCAATTGCAAGAGCATTTTGAGACGAAAGATCATCACATATTTGTTCGCAAGTATTTGCAATCTCAGTTTTAATCTCATATAGGACGTTATTCTTAAAATCATTCTTTTCTTTATCACTGTTATCACTGGGAATGTCATTTAGCAATTTATCAGTTATTTTGTTATAAGCATTTAGGAATTTATCAATTCCTTTGCTATAATTTATTTTAATATTAATTTCTTGCGTATCTATAACACAAATTTCAAATTTATTTAAAGTTGCTGGTGTTGAAACTTTATTCCAAAATGCTCTGTTAAACTTTGTTCTTTCTTTTGAAGTGTTCTCATTTTTAGCATTGTTACTTATAGCTCGTCCGATCGCTATAGCCTGATTAAAAGAATCAACTACATGCTGTTCTAGTTCTTTTGTTTTCTTTATTATTGTGCACATAAAATTTTCTTTATCATTTTCTACCTTTTTCCATTCCATATTAAATAACTCTTTACATTTTGATTCAGAAAAAATGCTTTTAAACTCTTCAGGTGTCTTATCTTTATGTTCTCTAAGAATTTTCCCGACTGTTTCGCCAATCCGCATTTGTGCTGATTTTATTAACCAAGATTCTTTAGATTGTCGTTGCCTTTTTGCATATAGTTCTTTAAGTTTTTGTTTTTCAACAGCAAATACTGTTTTTATATGGGTTTCGCCCTCATCAATTATTTGTGCTTCATATTGATTTGAAACTTTTTCTTTAAAGTCAGCAATCGTTTCATTACGTCGAAATTCAGTTTCTTGAGCAAGAAACGTTTCAAATTCTATATCGTTGTTTTCATTCCATTGTCCTTTACTTGCTTGTTCCTCTATTAAATTTTGTCCATTTTCTTTATAAGATTTTACTGTAGTATCATTGTAACCGTAGACTAATTTTTTCATTGCGCTCCATTGTTGTATTGTTTTAGAGTCTTTAAAATGAAGAAAATTCCCACGTTCATCGATTTCCTTCCACACCGTTTGCATGTGTGTAACAAATCCTTTCAGGAGAAAAGAGTTAAACTTTATACGTACATATATATATAATTATTTACTTGAGCATATACTAAACATTTCTTACCGTGGATATTTTTAAATATCTGAGATTCATGATTTTCACTTGGAATCAACGCAGAATTGAGTAATTCTTTGCGAAGTTTAGATATTTTTAACGGAAAAGTTTCCTATATTTCGGATATTTCAATATTCAAATGATAAAATATAGAACTTATTATATGTGAAAACTTACAGCAGGATAATGAAAATTTTCACTATCAGTGAGCATAGATTGTGGATAAAAATCATCAAAAGAACAAGCAAATGCATTCTCTAATAAATGAACATCCTGTTCTTCTACGACCATAAAATCATCTATATCATGAGAACCACCAGGAATTTCGTCAAACATCTTTTTTAAATCATCACGAATATTTTTAAATGCCGGACTTTGGGCATGCTTGGCATCTTTCATATCTCGTAAAACAAAGCTGATCCTTGGTTTAGAGTTTCTATTACTTAGTGCATCTAGATGATACGAAGAAACCTCTAAAGTATCTGAAATATCTCGCGTAAGTCCTTTAGTGTTGACGATTAGGATTTGTGAGCACATAAAACCAAGAAGCGTCATTTTTTTATCGAAGTCTGTACGTCTTGAAATATATTTTGCTGCTGTAGATCCCATTCCTTCAGAATCTATGATTAAAACATCCAATTCTCTTTCGTTATAAAAGGTATGTCGATATGACATATATGCACCTATCGAATAAAATATTTTTATTTATATGAATCTAAGATGATAACCGAAGTTGATATATTATAACTCACCCTTTGTACTAAATAAAAGTAACTTAAATTATAAACGATTCATATAAGATCAATAAACATATGTGTTATATTTAACTCTTACCATCGTCCAGCAGAGGTTGAAAATCCACATTGAAATAAGTAATTTAGCAATGTAGATTTCCGGAACTTTCAAGTCCAATTACTGAGAGAACTATCAATTGTTGTTTAGAATTCGATATTATTTTACTTAATACGGATGAAAGAAAATCGGAATTTATTGTTCTAAGTGATGCTCCTTCTAATATCTGAATTGCCTCTCCTTCACGTATCCAAATACTATAAGCTTTTTCGAGCTGCCTAAATGATAAACGTTTTGGATTGACTATTGTATTCAAATCTCATATGAACTTTTCAAAGGAATTCATGATAAACACTTACTCATTGTTGATGTCGTACAATTTTTTTAAGACCGATGAACCATCTTTTATCATTATCTGGGATAAAATAATAAATTCTCTCCAAAAGTCATGAATCGTTATATCTAAGTCTTCAATTTTTTGCTTTAGTTCTTTTCGCTGAATATTTGATCTATCACTCTCAATTAAGGTATTTTTTATTTCTTCTGCTTTTTGTTCCAATGAAATAAGATAATCCTTAAAGTAAAAGTCAACTTGACGTGCAAATTCACGCATATATTTAATGTCATTCTTCTTAATTACATTTGCAAAACATAAAAGAACTGAAATTGGCATAGTTCTACCAATATTTTTTTGTTCATTCTGAAGATCTCGGATTTTTAGATTAATTTCGCCTTCAGTCTGATAACGCGAATCTTCAGAGGTTTTGAAACGAGTTTTATCCTGTAGTTTTTCAATTTCATTTGAACAATATGAAGCATACAATATATCAGCACGACAAGTAAATTGTTCAAGTTCTGCCATTGATATTGCAAAATCGTTTTCTGATAAAAAATCTTCGGTATCATCATTTAAAACCTTAGGAAATTCAAATGGTTCCAATTCAATAATAATTGTTCGGTATCTTTAAGCTTTTTGAATGAATCCTTTTTGATTCTTTCAAATAATGCGCGTTTTTTGTTATTAATAACCAGTTCGATCATGAATTCATCATTAGTAAATTTTGAAGTTAACAATGTTTCAACATTTTCTTTATGTTCGTTGAAAAACTGAGGCTTAACTCCCCAAAATAAGATCAAAATTCTTCGTTTATAACCATTATGACATTCAACAGAAATGTCGTTGATGGTAGAAATAAATTGTTCATCGAGTTCATTTCCATCAAAGTCATTCTTATAGATATGAATTACAATATAAAATGAAAATTTTGATAATAACTTTACTGTGTCACGAAGAATAGAAGTGCTTGGTTCGCCATAATAAACTTCCGAAATAGCCAAGGGTGGGCGAGAATGATTTTCTGATGCAGCATGGAAAGAAAGGTCAATAGAATTTGGATTACAAATGCCTGAAGAATCTTCACGATTATTTGAGTAATTTTTATAAAGTTGTTTCGTGAAAGGTATTTCTAAATCAGTATTTGCTCGGTTTACGGAGATAAAAAGATGATAATTACGAGTGGCAATAATGTCACGCATTCCATTAAGAACTTTTAGGCCTTTTTGAGAATGCGTATCATTTGAAAGATAAATCGGAATAGGGATATTTGCAGCAACAATTGCACTGAGAATTTTTGAAAAAGAATTTGTAGGGACTTTATCAATAAACGCTATAAGGAAATCTCTACCCGTACATCCTTCAAAACATTGGAGAATTTTGTATATATCATCAACTTCATCATCTTCATTAATTGCTTGGATATAATTAACTAATCTGGTGATTGGAATGGTTCTGCAGATAGTATCCACAAGATACGGAAATAAATTACGAAAAATACCAGATTGATTTTGTTCCTTTAGAGATGGCTCAATAAGCGAAGCGAACAGTTCATTAGTAAGTTCGTTAGTGACAAATTCTGTTGGGTCTAATTCAATTGGATCTAGACCAAATGTGAGCTTAAAAAAATTATCTACAGTTAAATATTGG